TGATCTATTCACAATTAATTAACATCCAGTAGTGTCCAATACTGTTCCAAGAATCACTTGATGATCTTGAACACTCATTGACTGCATAAACTCTGGTCGATTGCTGCGATGGTGGCTACCCCAAAAACTGATGTCATTTGCTACCGACATGGCAATCCCCACATAAACAACCAAATTGCTTACTAATCCACGGTTGGCATTGTAGGTGCCGTGGTCAAAGGTATGCAACATCCTTCTTAATGGGTACAACAAATCCAGTGGGTTGATAAATTGATGACCATCCCTTTTTCGGGAAAAACCATGCTATGACCAATGCACATCTATTAAAATTCCATCCCCCATTTAGATAAACAACCCCCAGAAACCATGCTTTGGTAGAGGGATTTACGCCCATTTTTTGGACCATATACCATGGAGGTGTTCAATCTTAGGAGGATGCGACCATCAAACATCACCTGAAAAAATGGCTGCCGGCAGAAACTTCTCGTCCTTCGAGTCGAGCGGTGCCATGCCAGAGGCAAAACTCGTTGATGCCTGGGAGTTCTGTCGAAGTGACTTTCCCCGTGTCCAGCTGGGTAGGGATCCCATTACCCTACAAAGTATGGGTGAAGGATCAAAATAAAAATAAAAACGCATCAAAAAAAAAAAATATCCCCATAAGTATCAAAATAAAAATTGATTTGCATCAAAAAAAAATATTCCCCTGGACTTCTATGGAACTGTCCAAGATTTCAACGTGGTACCCGCATCAAAAAAAAATAAAATTTGCATCAAAAAAAAATAAATTCCGAGGTATGCTAATACAAGTGAGACTCGTACGTGTCTGGAGACAGGGGAGGGAGGGTCAGATGTCGATTGCCGATCTGTCCGCAATATCCAGGTGGTCCGTATCAAACAAGAAAATTCCGAGGTATGCTAATACAAGTGACTCGTACGTGTCTGGAGACAGGGGAGGGAGGGTCAGATGTCGAAGAAAAGGTCGACTGTCAGCAGACAACAGATACCAATGCATATTAAATCACAACTACTCTTGGGATACCGACTCAGACGAAGAGTCCCATTAAGGTGCTCCATAACGCAATGCTCATACATGCGAGGCGATCACACGTCTGGAGAACTCTCTTGAGATCCCAACAGATACCAGCGCATATTAAATCACAACTACTCTTGGGATACCGACTCAGAGGGAGAGTCCCAGCAAGGTGCTCCATAACGCAATGCTCATACATGCGAGGCGATCACACGTCTGGAGAACTCTCTTGAGATCCCAACAGATACCGAATAAAGGGTCGAGTCCCAGCAAGCAAGCTGCTCCATAACGCGATGCTCATACATGCGACGCGACAGCATGTCTGGAGATGGAAGGTCGGATATCAGAGAAAGTGTGAAAGTCAGATGAAAAAGACACTTCGTGGCTAGGCATGTCACAACCTCTCTTGAAACTGGGGACGGCGGGATCTCGAATAAAAGACCGAGTCTCAAGTTAGTTAATGTTTTCTTCCATTTTTCCATGTTTTTCTTCAATTTTTTCATGGTCTTCTTCAATGTTTCCCTGGTTTTCTTCAATTGTTCCATGGTTTTCTTCAATTTTTCCATTGTTTTCTTCAATGTTTCCCCGGTGTTCTTCAATTTTCCATGGTTTTCTGCAAGTTTTCTATGGTTTTCTTCAATCAATCAATCAATCAATCAATCAATCAATCTATATACATATGTATATATATATATATCTATCTATCTATGTATGTAGGTAGGTATGTATGTATGCATGTATGTATATGCAGGGTTTGGTTTAGGGTTTAGGGATACAACATGTAGGTATAATTACGTGATTATTTGTAGTATATTTTGGGATCAAAGCTGTGTATAAAAACAACCACAAATATGTCATATATATATATATATGTCTATCTATCTATAAGTAAATATGTATGTGTATTTCTAAATAAACATATATATATATTTATATATACTGATAGAGACATAATTATATAAATATATACACATTGATATGTATATACATATATGTATTTAAATATATATATATATACATTTATATAAAAACATAAATATGTATATATAAGTGTATATATAAATGCAAAGATATACATACATACATACATACATACATGCATTAGATATATATATATATATGTCTATGTATATATATGTCTAGATATATATATATATATAAACATAAATATTAATATAAAAGAATCAAACTAGTAATTGAAAAGTGTGCAAGTTTTGAATTTAAATAATTAAAAAAAAAGCGGGAGAGGGGGATTGGGGGGGAGGGCGCCGCGCCTCCCCCCCAAAGCAGATTGGAAACACCTATTTTCACATGCAAGGTGCTGGGTTGAATGCGATACTCAAGGTGTATGTAGGTAGGTATGTATGTATGTATGCATGTATGTATGTATATGCAGGGTTTGGTTTAGGGTTTAGGGATACAACATGTAGGTATAATTACGTGATTATTTGTAGTTTATTTTGGGATCAAAGCTGTGTATAAAAACAACCACAAATATGTCATATGTATATATATATATATACGTCTGTATATCTATAAGTAAATATGTATGTGTTATATAAATATATATATCTATATTTACATTTATATATATATTTATGTAAATATATATATATATATATTTATGTAAATATATATACTGAGAGATACACAATTATATAAATATTTACATGGATATGTATATACATATTAATTTATATATATATATATATATATACATTTATATAAGTACATATATATATAAGTGCATATATAAATGCAAATATATACATACATATATATACATATATATGTGTGTGTCTATATATATATATGTCTAGATATATGTATATATATATACACATAAATTTTAACATAAATATGAATATAGTCGAATCAAACTATATAGTGTATTGAAAAGTGTCTTTCTTTTTTATTTAAATAGTTTAAAAAAAGCGGGAGGGGGGGATTCAGGGGAAGGGCGCAGCGCCTCCCCCCCAAAGCAGATTGGAAACACCTATTTTCACATGCAAGGTGCTGGCTTGAATGTGATACTCAAGGTGTATAGACTACACGACATGCACCCTGGAAACATGTGGAATACAGTATATATACTTGTAGATACATACTCATTTATATATATATACAGTTATATGTATATACATATAAATGTGTATATATATATATATATAAGTACATAAATATATATATATATATTAATATGTAAATATAAATATATAAATATAAATACATAAATATATATATATATAAATATATAAGTGTATATATACATGCATAAATATAAGTATATGTATATATTTACATATTTCTATATGTAAGTATATATTTATATATTTGAATTTGAACATAAATAGAAATACTATGTATATAAAAATATAAACAGAAAATATAAATAATATAAATATATTTAAATATAAATATATAAGTGTGTATATAAATGCATATATAAATATATGTATATATACATACACATAAATAACAGTACGCAACTGCTACGGTGATGCCTGCATGTAATTTGAATGATCTCTTATGCATGTAATATTACATCATTATTTCTTTCCTTTCTTGTTTCCTTCCTTTCTCGTCTCCGTCCTTTCTTCCTTCTTTTCTTTCTTCCTTCCTTTCTTCTTTGGTTCCTTTTTCTTTCTTCCTTTCTTGTTTCCTTCCTTTCTTGTTTCCTTCCTTTCTTCCTTCCTTTCTTCCTTCCTTCCTTTCCGTCTTCCTTCCTGTCTTCTTTCCTTCCTGTCTTTCTTCTTTTCTTCCTTTCTTTCCTTGCTTCCTTCCTTCCTTCCTTTCTTCCTTTCTTCCTTCCTTTATTTTTTTTTGATGCATTTTTATTTTTTTTGATGCATTTTTTTTTGATGCATTCTTATTTTTTTTTGATGCCTACGCCACAAAGTATAGGAGTATAGGTTATCATTATCATATATCTACACCCCGTTCATAAGTACATGGTAGGCGGCGCGTAGAACACCGCTGGGTTTCGTGGCGAATTCTGTTGCTCAAAAGGGTGTTACTGGAGCAAGCGAGAAGGTCTCAAAACTATGCGTTCGCAAACATTTTTGTAATCATCTTGTCAGACACAACAGCTTCTTCAGCTCATCATCTACTTCCAAACACTATACATTCATTGAAAACAAACAACAGGTCAATCGCTGGGTTGAGAATAAGTCCATTCTGGCTTTTGATTTGCTTTTGAAAAAAGGCTCCAAGGACTCCTTCAGCACCAGCCAGTACCGCTCCATGCATTGAGTTCCAAGGCTAACACCAGGTACAGTATGTTCGCAAGCGCTCGTGAACTTTCAGTGTAGTAGTCAAATATATGTGCAAGTGCAAGTGAACTTTCAGTAGCTAGGTAGCATCCACAAGAGGGACGCAAAGAACCTAAACGGCTTTAGCCCCATGACCACACCACACCCCCCCACCCCTCCACGAGTAACATGATACTGATGATGATGATGATGATGATGACGATGACGATGACGACAACTCAAGATAGATTAGATGGTGGCGGAAAAATGGCAAACATGCTTATACTGGAGACGTTCTACGTGCCGCCAGCTAACTACAGCTTGAGTATTGTATAAGAACAAACTGTACAAGAGTTTGAGGGGTTCGGATCCAATGCGGGCTACATATTTTCAGCTATACCAAGCACATTGTACTTTAAGAATTTGGGGGACCCTGGGGTAGGATTGCCAAATTTTAAATAAACATTTTATACGTGAAGTTTTGTGGGTAGTGTGGGATGGAAACTGAAAGGTTGCAATTCCCCTTTGTGGTCCCCTTTTTGTGCGAAGACCCCTTGTGGGATGAAATCGGGCTTTGCAGAAAAACAAGTTTTCAGGATCTGAAAAACTGTATTTTTCGCACATGCTTGCACTGCTTCCAGTCCACTCAAAATCAATACTTGGGAACCTGAAGCATTGTTTTACTCCAATATCTTGATGAAAACAAACCTTCGTGGGACTTAGCGGCGCTTCTGCAGCTTTGGGATTCCACCTGGCAGACCCTTCGAGGCTGAAGGCCGATACACTAACCACTGAGTCACAGGGCCCTTGCGTCCGGAGAATTTTGCCCTCTTATTCTCTCTCTGGGCTGGCTGCCCGCGGCTGGGGGCCTGGGTTGTGGTTGCAAAAAAACAATTTTTGGCGCCCCCTTTTTTTTTGGCAGTGCCCTTGTGAGACTCAGAAGTGAGATGTTGCAACTCTTCTTTCTCTGTCCCCGGGCCAACCCATCAGACAAAGCCCAGCTTTGCCAAACTAACAATTTTTCAGGCTCTGAAAAATTGTTTCCCCTGGTTAAATCTGCTAACTCCACCTCGTTCCCTCGTTTGACCTCGCTCTAAATTGCGCAGATATATGTAATATATATATATATATCATATACAACTAAGAATGCTCTAAGAATTTGAAGGACCCTTGACCTATTGTGGTGGAAATTTGCTGCATTTAAAAAAAAGAATTTAAGGGACTCTGGGCCTCAAGCTTTCGGATTCTTAACCAAAACTCTCGGGCTGTACATGCAAGTTTCCCCAGTAGGATCGAATCATCAAAACTGGGATTCAACAAAACATGATAACACAAGACAAAGCAAATACATTATACGGGGATATAAGATATATGGTCCCTGCCGATCATGCCGGTTGGTTTAGACAGTTATTACTTCCGAAGTTGGGATGGGCAGTTCTGTCAGAAGTAAGTTAGATGGCACCGTCGTATTTTATCCATTTTTATCCATTAAAACATATGGCAATTTATTAGTGGTGGCTATCAGTTCTTCATGGTTTGGCAAGTGGCTGGGATCGAAGTGACCCAAAAACGCCAAGTCAGGTCCAACGCTGCTGGTGGTGGTCGATTTCTTCTTCCTCGGAGATTTCGGAACGAAAGGGGTGAGAAAACTTCCGACACAATCTGAGTTCGTTTGGGAGCCCATCCTCTGATTCTGCCGTTTATGGATTCAACATATGATATAAGTAATCTATATATATATATGTATTGGAGAACACTGAACGTTCTTTGATGCATCTGTCAACACAACCTCAACATGTCTTATGATCATTGGGGTCACATCATGCCCAGAAGAATCAGAATTTCAGGTCACCAAGAACTCCGGCACCTGCATTGGATAGGACCCTGCGACTGGAACCGGGGAAAACAAGCACGACCCTGGCTACCAACAAATGATGGACGAACACAACCTACGAAACATAAGGATACCATATAAAGTAATCACAAAAAAATGGCAGGCGACCTTACGACATCTTGTGGTAATCAATTCATGCTAACATTTTCAGCGTCCAAGTGACATGTCGTGACATGGATATCGACCGGTGTCCCATCCCCGCAGGTTGATCAAGATCCAACTGTGGCCACACGAAAATATGAGACATGGATAAAGCCTGACAAGTCCTCATGAACATGACAGTAGATCATCTGTTCCCCGTCTTGATCGTTGAAACACGATAATCATGTTGAATGGTGAATGGTATCCGCACTGAAAAAAACATGGGGCACTTGTTCCAAACCCCAATGATTTCAGGTGAACTACCGTGATATACCCACCGAATCCCAATAAACTGCTTCGCTTTTGTTTTCATCCCACCATTTTAGTTGGTTACATATGAAACCTGTTGCCATTTGGCTGCTCATCTACAACAAAGGCATCCAATAATTACCAATTCGTTACTCATAAATCTCACCACAACAAACCAAATGCCCCACTACCCTCTGGAAATTCAACATGGCTTTGGAACATCAGCATGTTTGATACCTAATATAATTTAACACTAATAAAACCAATGGGCCATCATGTGCCACAGCAAAGCTGTTCGATTACTAATATCATGTTTGTTCATATCCCATTTTTTATCTCATATCAATATCTCATCAAACCACCAGTTGGTTAGAGGTATATAATCCCCTAAATTATATATTCCATTCGAGTTTCACAATGCAACGCCCCACAGTTATGGCCCGAAACATCAGGTAGCCAGTGAAATAACCCAACATTTATATCCATTTATGGCATTTACAATCCCAATCAATCCCATACAAAAATGGTAAGAATGACCATTTCGAACTGGTTTCGGCATACCCTCTGGTAATTTAACAGTTTGCCATTGAACATGGCACATTTATGCGGATGCCGCCCCAAAATTATAAGTTGGTTTATAAACCCCATTATATAACCATAGTATATCTATAGTTATATCAACCATAAACCATAGAATTCAGCCACAAACATCAACCAACTGAACGCGAGCTCGACCGGGGGGCTATCCTGTAGTTGATTTACCGAACTTAAAGATGGTGATTTCCCATAGCTATGTTAGTTTACCAGAGGGTAACCCCATTATTAATAATTATTAACCACAATTATTAACCAGTTTATTGTTGGTTATATATCCCAATATTTCCATTGTTGTTGGTTTATACCGTTATACCCTATTAACCATGATTAACCGTTAAAGATAGAGTGATTTACCTATATATCATAGCATTTTCTAGATGTAAAACTTGTATTGGCAGCCCTAACGGTATCACCATCTTGTATTACCATCTGGGTGGATTTTCCAGAGGCTAAACCGCCGCATCCCCGAGGTCGCCATTCTCCGAGCATCGGAATGTTGGCGGCATCCGCCTGGAGACCCTGTTTGGCACGCTCGAAACGCTCGCGAAGCTCCTACGCCAGTGGTCAACATGGTCAACTCATGTAGAAACCATCAAAAGGGGGGATGAACATGGTGGAAAAATGTGGAAAACATGTGGAACAATGTGGAAAACATGAATCCATTGGTTTCATCGTAAAAACTACATTCGGGATGTCATTTCACAGCAGTCAATCATGAAAACAAATTGAACA